TAAATGTTGGTGTTATTTCATTGTTATTTTAATTTGCATTACCCTAATGACTGATAATATTGAGCATCTTTTCATGTGGTCATTTGCCACCCTATTACTCCTTTTATGAAGTATTTATTCAGATCTTTTGTCTCCACTTTATTTGCTGAATTTTGAGAACTCTCTCACTCTGTGTGTGTGTGTGTGTGTGTGTGTGTATGTGTATAGTTTGTTTGTTTTTGTTTTTTGAGATAGGATCTCACTATGTAGTTCGGGGCAGTCTTGAACTCACTATGTAGCCCAGGCTTGCCTGAAACTCACACTGATCCTCCTGCCTCAGCCTCCCACGTGCTGGGATTGCAGGTGTGCATCACCACACCCGACTTTATATCTGTTTTGAATACAAATAAATAGCTACAATTTTCAGGGTTTTCTCATCTCCCTTTTCCTCTCCCATATCTTGTCTATGTTACCTGTGAGGTTTGTACTTTGCCAACAGATACTCCTGATTGCTTCTCTCTTTCTCTTTTGACTTCAAGGGATTCTCCCTTAATCATTCATTTATTCAGCAAATATAGTAATTGTTGTGCATTTTATATTAGAGCTGACCTTTTTTGAATTGGCCAGCTAGCATGTGCTTCCTCAGGCTTAAGATCTGATTAGTTACTTTATATATAATCTTAGAATTGCTGGCTAATTTGAGGCATTTTGGTCATTTCTGGTTGTTGTCTTGTTATAACCAAAAGTATTTTGAAGATTTATTGTTTTTTCTTCTTTTTTCCTTTTTTTCTGGCTATCTCTGGGTCCAGAGCTTGAGATCTGGCAACTTAAAGCTTGCAGAAGACTGGTTATGAAATAGTTAAAGTTTCAGTTCAGTTACACTTAGTTTGAGGATTGGATAGATTACATATAACACTGAGACAATCATTCACTATCTTGTACCTCTTTGAGTTTTTTCTAATTCTTTCCATTACAATCCTTTCCTCTACTTTGAGAAGTGCTCCACAGTAGCAGAACTTGTTTTTATTATCCATAAGAGGTTTCTTTTGCCTCTGCATACATTTGCTAATGAACTAAAAGAATGTTTATCTCTGTGTAAAAGCTGGATAGGGCTCTGTGGAGTTTCTTTTCTGATATTCACTGGAATGCTGTATGGTAATGTTCTTGTGGCATTTTACTGGAAGGTATGAAAAACATGCTCCTTTGACATTTCAAAGAGGGTTAGTATTTATTCTGCAATATTGCACTGTAAAGTCTAAAAAGACTCGAACAGATAGATGGTTTCTTTCATTTTAAAACACATTTATATTTACAGCTATATATAGCTATATACAGCTATACCACTTTTAGACAACAAATACAGTCTTTCACATCTGTGTAAATGAAATTCATGTAATCCTTTAGGATTAATTTGCTCTCCTGTTACCTGTTCTTTCTGTTTCCTCTCCCCCAAATCTTTTCTTTGATTCCTTCTCCTTCATTTTTTCCTTCTCTCTCTCTTCTTTCTTTATTTCTAGCTCTCCATTTGTGCCCATGATAAAGTTCAAACAATGGATATCTATAGATTTTTCTTATATTTAATCAACACTAAAATTTCAGTGTTCCAACTTCTTATTTCTGCCACTTAGATATAGCATAATTTTAAAAACTTATCCTGGACACATTAATTGTTCCTAATTCTTTGTTATCACAGCTGTGTTAAATTTGTGTCTGAAACTTTTTTCTTTTTGTATTTAGGATCATTTAGAAATATTTTATCAGGCTAGGTTTCTTAAAATGGGATTCTAGGGCACCAGTTGATTAGTGTTAGAATGCATGATATCCTCACAAAGCAAGTATGACAATTGACATCGAATTAAAAAATTGGTGGATGAAGAAAAATATCTTTTTTAAGATTTTTTTAAACTTTGAAATAATTGTTGATTGATATCAGTTGTGAGAAATAATCAAAAGAAATCCCATGCAGCTTGCCCAATTTTCTCACTGGTAATATCTTGTGAAACTGTACAATAATACAACCAGGGTACTGACATTGATAAAGTCAAAATATAGAAAATTTCCATCACCACTGTCTCTCTTTGCGGGGGGGGGGGGGGCAGGGCAGGGTCTCATGAAATTCAGGCTGGCCTTGAACTCGCAGCCATCCTGACTCAGCCTCCTGAGTTGCTGGGAATGCAAGCATGTACAGTCACACCCAGCTAAGATCTCTTTTCTTGCCCTGTTGTAGCCACATCCACTTCTCCTGATCTCATTACTACCCATTATTGAATTTTGGTAACCACTAGTCTCCATTTCTACAATTTTGTCATTTTAGGAATGCTATCTAGTATACCCATCCAGTGTATTATATACCTTTTGGAATTGGCTTTTTTCACTTGGCATAATTTCTCAAAATTCACCCAAATTGTTGCGTTTATCTATAGTTTGTTCCTTTTTGTTGCTGAGTAGTAACCCTTCATTCTGGGTGTACCACAGTTTGTTTAACCATTTACCTGTGGAATTTCTGGGTTGTTTCTAGCTTTTGGCTATTACAAATAATGTTTTATGAACATGAATGGCCAGATTTTTGTACAGGCTTTCATTTCTCTGTGATAAAAGAGTGAAATTGTCTTGATAGGGTAGTTGTATATTTAGTTTCTTAAGAAACTGCCAAATTGTTTTCCAAATTTACAATACTGTTTCACATTTCCACTGCAAAGTATGAGTGTGATTTTGCTTTCATTCTTGTCAGCATTTGGTGTTATCCCTATTTTTTTTATTCTAGACATTCTGATAGATTTGTAGTAATATCTCACTGTGGTTTCAGCTTGCATTTCCTGAAGGATATAGAGATTGAACATCTTTTATATGTTTATTGCTAACTGTATATCCTCTGGTGAAATGTCTTTTCAAGTCTTTCACTTATTTTCTAATTGTTTTGCTTTTATGCTATTAAGTTTTGAGCATTTTTATGTACTCTAGATACTGGTTTTTTGTTGCATTTACACCTTGCAGCATCTTCTCCCAGTGTATAGCTTGTTTCTCCATCTTATTAATGGAATCTTTAGCAGAACAGAAGTTTTAGATTTTCATTCTAGTTAATCACATTTTAATTTTATTGATTATGCTTTTAATGTCAAGGTTAAGAACATTTTATCCAGCCCTGCAGTCTAAAGATTTTCTCTTATTTTTTCTAGTTTTATGTTTAAAATCCAAGATCTATTCTAAATTAATTTTTATAAAGTGAATAATATCCTTGCAAAATTTTTCTAATTTTTCTAATTTTTCTTTTTTTAATCAGTATTTTCTTCACATTTCATATAACTAAAGGCTTTATAAATTGAGTAACTGAATAATCTTACCAGTCACTTTGGGTCTTAGTTTATGTCTTTAGTCTTTAAAAGTGCCAAATTAAAAGGTTATAAGCAGGCTGGGGATTTTGCTCAGTGGCACCATGCCTGTCTTGCAAGGACAAGGTTTGGAGTTTGATCCCTGGTACGGGGGAAAAAAAGTTATGATTGGATCTTGTGTGTAAGGCCTTTAGTTTATGTATCTGGCAAAGAATAAGCACTCAGTAAAAGTTTACTTCTCTGACAGTGCTAGAGGTGGAGATGAAGCTAGTGGGAGAAGAGCAGATCCTGATCAATGTAGGCAATGGATATTGTTTTAATAGAGACAGAAGTACTTACCCCATCATGCATCAAATCTTAACATCATGCATTGAATCTTAACATCATGCATTGAATCTTAAAGAACAGAGTTTGCTAGGAAAAGGAAGGAAAATATTTAGGATAAGCAGGAGAGTGTGAACAGAGAGAGGTACAGGGCCTGAAAGGCTGTGTATGAGTATATGTAATAGTACAATCATTTGATATGAACAGAGTTTGATGTAGGGTTTTGGAAGCAGTAGGTCTCTGATGAGCCTGGAGAGGTAGGCAAGAGCCAGTTCATGGAAGGCACTAGACTTTTTTCTAAGCCAAAAGGAGATGTTGAGGAGCTTAAAGGAGAGAATGGCATGGTCAGATTTGCATTTCTTGCCATTCTGTGACGTGGAGAAAGAAACTAAGAACCTCTTTCACAGTTCAGTTGAAAGGCAAGGCCCAAACCAGGGCCATAATGATTAAGAATTCAATGTAATATTCTTGTCTTTATTTTCCATATACTAAACTTGGGTCTCCTCCAGAGCTTCTTTTAGAAAATCAGGCTAGATTCAGGTGTGGGATGTATGAGAGGGGAGTTTTGTCCAAAGGACTCTTTTGTCTGGCTTAGGCAATAAAGACTAAATGGTCCCTTCTGTTTCTCTAGGCTACTTTTGATTTCTTATGATCACCTCAGTCAGTATACCCAAATAATAGAAAATTTTTTTGTAGCTTTTTTGAGGTAGGATCTCACTATGTAGTCCAGGGTGGTCTTGAACTCACTATGTAGTCCAGGCTGGCCTCCAACTCGTGGTGATTCTTCTGCCTCAGCCTCCCAAGTTCTGGGATTATAGGCACACACCACCACTCCTGAATGGAAAACTCATATTTTAAACTTACTTCTCACTTTTTAAAAATTAAGGCACCATGATGGAAGAGTAGTAAAGTGAAGTGGAAAAAATTACCAGCAAGCAGGTCTAAGAAAAAAAGAATTTGATTCTAACAGTTTAACAAAATTTTAATTTCATTTTCTTATCTATTTTCCTTCCTTATCTATGAAGGTTTAAAATTTTCATCTGGAATAAAGCTAAAAAGAAAAACATTAGAAAGAATTCAGTTCTGTCATATTTGCTACGATTTTATATCCTTCGGCTCCATTGTGTTTACTACTGTGAGAAATGGACTTCTGACTGGTCCGATTTCCCACATTACAAATCCTGTGGGAAGGAACTGCGTGCATTTTGTGGACTTTGTGTTTGAAAACATAGCTTATTAAAGATAAATGAAAAGAGTAAATTAATGTTTTAAAGGATGGTACTATCTTTATATATATGAGTATTTCACACACCATACAATTCATCCATTTAAAGTGTACAATTTAATGGTGATTTGTTTCTTTAACAGGGAAAAAAAGATGTAACCCAGATATTTAACAACATCCTGAGAAGACAGATAGGCACTCGGAGCCCTACTGTGGAGTATATTAGTGCTCATCCTCACATCCTATTTATGCTCCTCAAAGGGTAGGTGCCTGGCTTCCTTTCAAGTAGATTTGAGTTTAAAATAATTGTTGAAAGTACATAAGATGGGATTGTGGCTGAGTGCTAGAGTGCTTATGTAGTGTGCACAAAGTTTTGGGTTGGATTCCTAATACCACACACACAGAACATACAACATTAGCCTCGTTGGGAGTATGGTCACTTTGGAACTGCTGGATGGGTATCTACCATTCTTGAGATCAGCCCTCCAAGTCTGTATCTCTAAGAAAACTTAGGCTTCTTTTTTTTTTTTTTGGTACCAGAGATCGAACTCGGGTCCTTCTGCTTTCGAGGCAGGTGGTGGAACCACTGAGTTAAATCCCCGGCCCCCAATTTAGGCTTCTTTTAAAAAAAAACCTCTTGTTTTCACCTTTATAATTCTAAATGTTATATTCCATTTATTACCTCTTTTTCTTCCAGTTTTCTGCTATAATATTCAACTATATGTTCCAACTATAATATTGTTTGTGCCTCCCAGCATGTGGTATTCCTAGCTGTGCAGTTGCATGATACTGAGTCCTCTTATTACACACATGCACTGTACACACACACACACACACACACTCAAATAAGAGTACAAGAATGTTTTAGTAGCTAGCATCTGCCAAAGTGACATGCTTCTACATGAGGAGAGACTAAACATTACTGTGTATATGTGGGGCCATGGAGGAGCCAAAAAACTGAAGTGAAGTCGGATAATAGAATCCTTGATTATTATTTTTTATGTCTACTCATTTACAGGTGTTTCTTAGACATTTTTGAGATTACTCTAAATCTAAAGACTGGACATGTGGGTGCAGCAGTGGCTGGGATCACAAGACTGTTTTCTTCCCCTACTGTTATTTAATTCCATCATGTCAAATCAGCATGGCTTTTTTTTTGGTACCAGTGATCGAACTCAGGTCCTTGCACTTGCGCAACAGGTGGCAAAACCACTGAGCTAAATTCCCAGCCCTTGGCTTTTTATTTTATAGTATTTATGTTTTCAGTTCTGCTGTTCCATACAATCTATCTCATCTGTGTGTTCCGTCCCTCTAGCATTCAATTGTATTAACACATAGCACAGATTAAAAATCTGATATATCAACAAACAATACTTCTTTGCCTCTTCCTTCTCCATCCCTCAGTCCCACTGCCAGAAACAACCACTTTCTTCTTTTGTGTTTATTCATTATTTTCTGTCATATATTTATCTCTGTATTCCAAATAATGAACTTATACTAACTTTTTGGTTTATCAAATTTAAACAACATGTTTTTTAGCTTTTTTGCTGCCACTATTACTCTATTTCCTTCCCCTTGTCCTCCCAATATATTTTATCACTGATATTTTTGGTACCAGGGATTGAACTCGGGTCCTTGCACGTGTGCAGCAGGCGGCAAAACCACTGAGCTAAATCCCCAGCCCTTTATCACTGTTTTGAATCACATTTAGATTATTGTGACTATGCTGTTATCATTGTTGAGCGAAGAAGTATGCTATGATTACTTTGGATTTTGATGCAAAATAATGCTTCTACTGAGGAATCATGTCTTTCAGTTCTGGAAAAAGAAATATATTGTCTATTAGTTAGAGTATACTAAATTTCTATAATAAATAGACCCCAAAATGGAGTGGTCCCATCACAAGATAAGTATATTTTTCACATGGCAGTAGCAGGCAGATGGTCTAGGTCAGCAAGACGTTTTGCCATTATCAACATGTGCTGTCTAAAATCACTTTGTTCACTGCTGTTTCAGCCCATAGGAACATGAAAATATGTAAGAGAATTTATGTGTTTCAAGAATACAAGAATTCTAGTGTGGCTAGAGGTCAGGAAGAGTCAAAGGGAAAACTCATATTATGAAGGGAAGGAGTATAAAGCTGGAAAGACAAGACCAGATGTGGAAGAGCCTTCCACACCCTACCAAGGAGTTTATATGTCATTCTATAGGCAACCTAGAGTCACCCAGGAATGAGTTCTGGTGGTGGTGTGGAAAATGCTTTAACAGTGTTGGCAAGCCTATGGCACCTATGCCACAGCTGGCTGTTTGTTATCACTGAAAGCTCTAACGGATTCACCATCACTGACTTAGAGGTTTGGGGGCCTGCAATTCTAGCTTGGAAGAGTCCAAGAAAGAGTGATGAGCATGGGAATGAAGAGAGTAGCTATTTTAAAGCATTTCAATTTTTTCTGATTAAAAAGTAGCATATATTTACTATTTAAAGAGTTAAACGTTTTAGAAATGTTTAATGTAAAAAGAGAGGGCATCTCATAATCCCTCCCAACCAACCCACTGATAACAATTTGGTGACTACAGCTCTGGTTTTTCTTCTCTATTGTAATGATTATTTTTCTGCTGGTTTTTTTTTTTGTACCAGGGATCGAACTCAGGCCCTTGCACTTGTGAGGCAGGTGGCAGAACCACTGAGCTAAATCCCCAGCCTTATTTTTCTGTTTTTTAACTCATTCCTTCATGTCCTGTTTTGTAGATACCACTTACTGAGTGCTTGCTCTGTGTCAGGTACGGCATCTAATGTCATGTGTGGATTAGGTATTATCCATCCTTAGCATTTTACAGATGAGGAAATTGAAACAGAGAGAGAGAGAGAGAGAGAGACAGAGAGGATATCGCTTAAAGTTAGACAGCTTAGAAGTAACAGAGCCACATTTTTCAATCCAAATCTGATACTAAGCACCATGTTTTTTGCCATTAATATATCCTTAAGAAGATTTGAGAACCGTTCATATGTAAAGGGAGAGGGAACTGTTGATCCTCCTGAGGACAGGGTAGAAGTCCTAACTGCAACTGTTGCACCACAATTGGTTTTATCCATTACTATTTTCTAGTTCAGCTTGGAATGAATGCTACAGAGTTAGTCCTCTGTTGAAGGTGAGGATTTTTACTGTATTGCCAGTTGTGAACTTCCTTGAAAACTTAGGAAATAACCCAATTGGTACATTTATGCATCAAACAATAATATTAGGGATATAATAGTAACATGCTATATTGAACCACAGTTTAACCAAAAAGAATGTAAGGCCAGAAAGAAGCTGACTCTTATCTATCAAGGAGAATCATCTGAACATGTAATACAAAGCATTTGAAGCCCAAGTTCTATGAAAAGGGCTTTCATAAAGGACTTTTCATTCTAAATGAATTTGTTCTCTGACTTGAGCAAATGATACTCCAGGGCACTGAGAAGACTTGAGGAGGTCACTAAACTTTTCTCAGTGATCCGTAAAACTCTGGGGCGAATGGCAGATGTTCCCTAAGTCTAATGTTAAGAGAATGTTTCCTAGTACTCCTATTTTTAAAAAATGTATTACAAAAATTTCAGCCATATGCAAAATTAGTAAAGAAACTTCACGTACCCCCAATCACTCAGTCTTAGCAACCATCATTATTTTGCTGTGCTTCTTTCCTCTATCTCCCCAGTGCACCCCACCCTCCCATTTGGGTGGGAGGGGCTATGATATTTTCAAGAAAATCTCTAAGCACTTCAGAAAGCTTCCTAAAAATAAAAAGATAATTTATATATAGCCACAATGTCACTATTGTACTTTTAAAAATTAACAGTAATTCTGTAATAACAAATACCCAGTTCATACTCAAATTTCCTTGATTGCCAAATAAAAAGGAAAAAAAATCTCTTTTCGTAGTTGATCGAATATTCAAATAAGCATCCTAAAAATATTTAGTTATTATATTTAGGTGTAATTTTTACTTAAGTCAAAAAAGTTTAAGTTCCTTTCATTTAGATCAACTTTTGACCCTCCTACACACCTGCATTCATATGCTATTGATTTGTTAAAAAACTGAATGATTTATTCTACACAATATCCTCCATTGTGGAGTTGTCGCAGTACTTTCATATAGTATCATTTAACTTGTCCCATTATGCCGTATGTTTCCAGAGTTCATATTTAAATTAGAGTTCAACTCAATTTTTCTTTTAATAATATTTTGTAAGTGGTTCTATATAGTTTATATTTCAGCACATCAGGAGACATACTTTTAGTAATGTCAACATGAGCGATGAGCCTAGATGATTACAATCTAATTCATTATAGTTTCCCATGCCGAATGTGGTGGTCCATGCCTGTAATCCCAGCACTCTGGAGGCTGAGGCAGGAGGATTGCCATAAGTTCATGGCCAGCCTGGGCTACATAGCAAGACCGTCTCTCAAAAAAAAACAAAAAACAAAAAATAAAATAAAATTTCCCATCAACCTTTCATTTAATGGTTTACCATCAATTGATAAACATTGCCTCATTCAGTCATTTCATTAGGGATTACAAAAAGTTAATTTTCAGAATCAGTCATTCCTTGTTTATTTACTGGCTACAGTAGTTTTATTGATAATAACTTTTCTTCATCCACTACTATCATTAGGTTACTCCAGGTAGATCTCATATGAGAGAGGCAGAATAAATGCTTAATTACTTTCAGTTATCAGTTTATAGAGTAATAAGTTGTCCTAGAAACTCCCGTGGTATTCAGTGAGTTTTATTTCTCTCTCCCACAGTATCTTTTTTTTGGTACTGGGAATCAACTCAGGACCTGGCGCTTGCCAGGTAGGCATGGCACCTCTGAGCTACGCCCCCCCCCCCACTGTATCTTATTAACTAGTGTATTTCTTCATATAAATATATATAAATATTGAGTTGCACACATTTTCTTCTTAATGCTAACTTGACAGTCTGGCCCCTTCTGAGTAATGTCTTTTGACATCACCAAAATAGTTTGTGAGAACTTCTTTGCTTTCTAATGCAGTAATATATACCAGGCCAAACTTGTACATTTCCTGACACAGACATGGAATTTCTGCCAAGAACCTTGGTTCTCTTTTGTGAGGAATAGTTCTTAGGGATTACAATCTGGATGCTAAGGGTGCTCATCAGTATTAAATTGTTACTGCTTTCTAGGCCTGTTCAGTGAGCAAAGTTAATTCATTATTTCTAAAGTAAGCAAATGTTTCTGTATTAGAAGCAAACTTTCTTGACTCTATTGAGCAGGCCAAGTGTTTGAAGAATAAAAAGTTTTCTAAGTACATCTGACATTGTTTGCTCCCAACAGTAACAAATGTCATTTTCCCTTTCTGTAATATAATCTTTGTTCTTGAGTTTCTTTGTACAAGATTTTTCTTCTAGCCATATTCTATGTAATGATTACTGTAGCTCGCTGCTAGTTGAGACAATTGCTCTTGCATTTTGGCTTTCATTAAGTTTCAAAGGAATCCTTTCATATGCTGTCATTATTTGAATGATCTCACATGTACAGTAATGTTAATTATATCCTAGCCTATATTAGCCAATTATAAATTAGGAAGGAAGATATGATTTGATTCTACAAAAACAGTGATTTGGCATTCATCAGATTAACCTTAATTGGAAACCTGCCATAGGCTAGTCATGGGAAACATAGTGATTAGTCATGGTCCTGCCATCAGAAAATTTATCCATAAGTAGAATAGCTTAGGTGAGATAAATATTGATTCTTTACCAGACCTAAGCATATTAGTGCTATTAGAATTTGAGACTTAAGAGAAGCTTAATATATGGAGGACTTCTTTATAAAGTAAGCAATAACCTATGAAAAGTTAGTCTTTTAGAAGGTGGTCAGGTTGAAATGATTATGTGAATTAAAAGTTTCGTGGAGGGTATTGAGGACAATCAGGAACTTCCCTATATATGTATTCTACTATATTCATAACCTTAAGCAGTTATCATCTCAGAAAATGACATTTTTACCATTGGGGACAAATTATTGGATGAATTGCCCAAGAGGAGGGGTTTTTTGGGGTTTTTTTGTTTTGCTTTGCAGTTCTGGGGAATCCAGCCTAGAGCTATACTACCACTCAGCTACACCCTTAGACTTTTTTTTTTTTTTTTTGAAACGCGTCTCATATGCCTAGGCTGGCCTTTAACTTGCAGTCCTCCTGTATCTCAGCCTCCTGAATAGCTGGGATTGTAGGTGTGTGCTACACCTGGCCAGAGGAATATTTTTAAAAATATTCTCTTGATTCTCAAGAATAAATCACCAGTGTATCACAGATGGTTCCAATAAACTTAACGAAAGGGAAAAGAGAACTAATTTTACCCAATAGTTGGAAACTTTCATAAATTGTCTCAATTTGGAAATTGAATTAGAGATGTTGGCTAGAGATCATATAGCTTTTGTAAAAGCCAGACTTTGAGTCTCACTACATTCTTCTAGTATCAGTCAGAATTTGAGGTTAATTAAATTAATTATATGCCCTCTTTCTGAAAAAAACATTATGCTAGGCACTCTTTGGAGACTGGGGTGGAGCAGAGGAACATAGACACCAAATAGGGATGGGGGTGGAGAGAGAGGGGAAAGTAACAGAATAAGTAAAGTGAAGCAAAGGAAATAGATTAGGCAATTGATATAATCCAGAGTGAGAAAAATGGTAAAGAGAAATTATAGCCAAGCTGTAGTTGGAGTATGAAGGAAGGAGAAAATAATTCTGAATGGTGGATGATTACAAAAGACTTCAAGGGGTGGCATTTAAACTAAACCTTGAAAGATGAGAAGCTCAGTGGAAAAAATGAGGGGCATTCTACTTGAGGAAATGGCAGGGAAATTTCTCCAGGGAAGTGGAGAATGGGATGGGAGATGAAACTGAAAAGTTAGATTCCAAATGATGGAAGTCTACAAATGTATTACTAATAAATCTAGATTTTAATTGTTGCCCCTTTCTATGCTTCAACACCCTTTATTTTATAGACTCTTAAATATGCTATCAATAATTGACAGTATTTTTTCCTTGACATTTCAGAAAATATATCCCTGTTTATAACATCTTTAATAATATCCCAGCTTATAACTATTCAATATGTGTTAATTTCTTGCTTTAGTGCTCCAAAGGCTCAAACTGAGACCAAACCACTTAGCTTGGCCCACAGCCCTTTCCTACCTGGAGTCGCACCACTCACTAACAGTCCCAGCATTTACCACTCTGGCTATCTTTATTCTCCTCTAATTCACCAAGCTAGTTCTTGCCTTGGAGTCTTTGCACAGTTGCCTGGTATGCTTTACCTATTTCCTTCAATCTAAAGTAAAAATGAAATAATCGTCCACACACATACAAGATTAAGTAGTCATCCTCTATAATATTGCCCTGTTTATTGTCTTCAGTTTTCATAGCACTTCTGAACATATGAAATTGTCTTCATATTGCTTAATCTCACTCCTCCCTTCACCAGACAACATTCTCACTAAAATATAAGTGTTGTCATGGTAATGACCTTGCTGTTTACTGCAGTATCACCAGCATCTGGAATAGTGCTGGGCAGTGGAGAGTGAATGAATAATGCTTGAATGAACGTGACAAATGGTATCTGTTTTTCCATTGGTAGTAGTACTGAAATGGATCTTTTGACATCACTGATATTATTTTGTTAATGAGATAACAAAGTTTTCTGTTTCCCTCTTATTTACACTGTAGATATGAAGCCCCACAGATTGCCTTACGTTGTGGGATTATGCTGAGAGAATGCATTCGACATGAACCACTTGCCAAAATCATCCTCTTTTCTAATCAATTCAGAGATTTCTTCAAGTATGTGGAATTGTCAACATTTGATATTGCTTCAGATGCCTTTGCTACTTTTAAGGTAAAAATGTTTTTTCAGAATCTGCTAGGTCCTTTTAAGTGTGGTCTCTAAAATGACTATTTTATTTTTTGCTCTGTGGTACTGGGGATTGAACCTGGAGCCTTACACATGCTAAATCCCGAACCCTACAATTTAATTTTATTTTAAAATTTCATTTTTAAAAATAAGAAATTGTATTCCTTAGGCCTGATTGTTGCCCTCTATATATGATGTGCATCATAAGAGACATCAGTAAATAGAATGCAGTCTGTGAGGCTAGTCTATGGAAAAACAACTAAAAACACTTGTCACTTGCACACATGGAAATAATTTTGATATATGCAGTTAAATGACAAAAGCAACTTGTAGTGCTCTGTGTATAGCATGCTGACATCTGTATTAAAAGCAGATTGAAGGGTCTAGCATCCTTTGAGGTGCATATGCACAGAATACCTCTGGAAGGATATAGAGCAACAGAAGTTATCTTCAGGGAGAGGGACCTAGGTAGAGAAAAGAGACAGAGAACTACATCATGGAATATGAAGGACATCCCACTGTTTTATCAGTATAACTTAAAAATTTCCACAGGGTGAAATAAAATACCAAGCATATTAGCATTTTGATAGTATGACTGATTTTATATGTATAATATATGTATACATTATATAAATTATATATACATTTGTATTTTAATAGTACAGGTAATAACCTATTTTTTATCATCTATGATTTACTTTGTCATTATGTGGGAAATACATTTTATCTAACTTAATGTTTTAAAAACTTTAACCATGTATAGTACAATGGTTACAAAATTATGTCACACATGCTGCAGTGGGCTATTTGTTATCATTGAAGCTCTAAAAGATTCGCCCTCACTGGTATAGTATAATATTTATAAAAGTTACAATTTTTAATGTATAGTTTAGTAGGATTAAATATATTCACACTGTTGAGCATTCAATCTCCAGAACCCTTTTATCATGCAAAGTTAAAAATCTATATCCATTAAATAACTCCTGCCAGGCATGGTGGTGCACATCTGTAATCCCAGCACTTGGGAGGCAGAGACAGGAGGATTCCTGTGAGTTCGAGGCCAGCCTGGGTACATAGTGAGTTCAAGACCAACCTGAACTACATAGTGAGATCCTGTCTCAAAAAAAAAACAAACCAAAAAACAATTAACTCCCCGTTTCCCTTCCTTTCCACTTCCTGTTCCTGTATGTCTTACCATCAAAAAGATGTTCAGAAATCATATCAGAAAATGGCATAGGTAATTTACAAACATGTAGTGCTTACATATCCAATAAGTGATATTACCCCAAGATTTCTGTTTTAGAAAACATTTGTTTTTGCTTATTATCTTGACATTATTTAATATGTTTTGAAATTGTTATTAATAGTTGTGGCATGTTCATTTTGCAATAGTTGAAAATCTTTTTCCTTTGGGAGCAGATAAAAGTTTTAGAAACAAAAAGCTGTTTGACATCCAGGTTAATGTATAAGGCAGGTAGTCAGAACTGTTTTTGTTTTAGGTAACAATAATTATGATAAAATTAATTATGATACATAAATTTTAAGGTGGCTTAGAGTCTGATTTTCTTTAGTATCTACCAAATTGGTTCTGAAGGCCATTTCAGAAAAAGAATTTCAAAAATATTATAAATTTAAAAATAGGCTTTCCGACTATAAAGTAGATAAAATTAATTTACTTGTAGGCCAGCCAGGGATTTAGCTCAGTGGCGGCACACCTGCCTCTCAGGCTCAAGGTCCTAAGTTTGATGCCAGGTGCTGGAAGAAAAAAAATTAATTTACTTATAAGCATATCTTTAGATTCATTTCCTTAAAAGCATTTCAGCAATTTAATTGTTCATTTAGATCATTCCCATATACTTCCACATTTTTTCAGAATACAAATATATAACATTAAAAAATTTATTAGGTGAAATGAATTTTTATATATTATTTTAAATATATACTTTAACAATATTGACATAATTCATACCCTAATATTAATACATGTTCTAATCTTGTTACTTAATAGACAGAGTTTGAAAGTCACCTATGACTTGGGCAATAATTAGTTCTTTTTTTTTTTTTTTTTTGGTACTGGGGATCGAAATCGGGATTTCGCGCTTGCGAGGCAGGCGGTGGAACCACTGAGCTAAATCCCCGGCCCAATTAGTTCTTTTTTCTACACCAGAGGTGGAGAAAGGGAAAACAGTGCTTTGAAGTACAAACTAGCTATTATCAGCACCTGAAAGTTTACTCCATACCCAAGAAGCTGTCTTAAATCTGTTAGAAGATATTTTAGCTCATAAGTGGGAGAGAGTATCAGAAGAAGAGTGGGAAGATCTGAGTGAAACGAAAAGGATGGGAGGCTGGAGAGAGAGAGAGAAAGGAGGAGAGACGGAAGAGAGCGGGAGACTTAGAAAAACTCTGTTCTGGTGTATGAGAATCAGCAGCCAAAGGTAGAAGGTGCCAAAGATCAAAGAAAGATGCAGAAAAATCAAGGATTGCGCCAAGCCTAATTTACTGAGGACTTAAGGACAGAAGTGTTTCCTGGGTGGCTGCAAGACTGGAGGTTCCCTGAACCCCGAAGTAGGAGAAAGGGTTTTATGTGCTAAGGTAGATAAGGTGGGCTGTGCCCAACCAGAATGTACCAGGGTTTTCTCAAAAACTATTAATATGCCAAGCATTAGTTAAGAAATAGTCCAGGCATCAGTGGCCGGCACCAAACACACAGCTGACCATTTTAATGACTTTGTTTGTTCTATAGGGTTTGGGCTGTGTTCCAGGTTCACCTGGCAGGCAAGAGGGCAATTATGACAAAGATGTCTGTAGTCATATTAAGCTGGATCCCTTCAAAGGAGGTTTAAGAGGGGGAGAATATAAGGCAAGACAAAGGCAGAATAAGGAAAAAGAAAACTATGAAGAGTGACAAAGAGTGGAAAGACCCGAGAACAAACCCCAAGGATACAATGTGCTGTGTCTGATTTACAGGCAGCTCAGCCTCACTGGCAAAACACCTATCCCGTGGATTCCAGTGAACTCCCAGAAAGGATGAATCTAGAGCATGATGAAACAGGCCTCCATCACATCAGATATAAAGAATGACATTTAGTACAATGTTTGGTCCAATTTTTTCCTAGCAAAATGCCTGGGCTTTAAAAACTAAGGAGGTGTTTTCTAATAGATACTATAGTCCCATTTCTTCTTCTTCTTCTTTTTTTTTTTTTATCAAATGGCTCTTTCCTGTCATGGAAACAAGTTAGCCCCTCTATTAAAAAAAAAAAAATCCCTAAGTAAGACTTCACATAGTTACAAACCTAGAACAAATTGTAATGGAGGGAGAAAGTAAATACTCAATAAATACATATATTTTTTAAATATCCCCAAATAAAACATACTAAGGCTAGGGGTATAGCTTGGTAGAGTACATGCCTAGCATGTGCAAGGCCCTGGGTTCAATCCCCAGTACCAATCAATTGTACTTGATAGTAATTCTTGCTATCATACATTCAATTTAATTTTCAACAATATTGAATGACAAAAATAAACTATGATATTTACATTTGTACTTCAATCTGTTTTCCATTGAACTTGTCAATTCCTTGAAATATAAAATAACCATAAAAAGTTTTCTAGCATACTACCAGAATTGAAAACACTAAGTTCTATATTTTACCAGAATACTTTTGTGGTTAATATAACAGTGACCATAGATCTTTTTTTTTTCCTTCAGTTACCTGGTCTCAGTGGATTTGGTTTGGCTAGTTGGTTTTATTGGCTCTGATTTTTTTTTTTTCTGTTTTTAATGATAGGCTCACCTTTTTTTCCTTTGCTCCAAGATGACCATGACCCAGTTTAATTATTAATGTTTTCACATTGTTAGTTTATTTTTTTCCATGGTATTGTCTAAATATAGTCCTTTCACTAAAAAGATTCCTTACAATCATCTCTTTCATCTCTCCAAGCATCTACATAATTGAAGTGGTTTGAATTCCATCTCCCTCTCTGTCACTTGATTAACTGTATGTCCTTGAATAATTGCGTTAACCTTCAAGTTTCATTTCTGTGAAATTGAGAAAATAATCCCTGCTTTTGAGTTGTTATAAAGATTAGAAGTCACATGTGCCATTCACGTGGCATACGCCCTAGCACTCAGTAAGCCCTCCACACGTGGCAACTGCTACTGGCTCAGGCTCACACCCTTGCACTGTCTCTCTCACTCCACCCTTAGTTTCCCAGCCAGAATTCACTAAAATTATCAGTGTCAAATTTTTTTAGCATAATACTTGTACTGTAAGTAACTTAGCCCTGTCAGACCAAAATTATTAGGAGCTGGAATAAAATACACTATCTCAAATACACCTTTTTAATTTTAAATTCTTTCAACTTTGACCTTTCTTTCATTTGTAGTTTCTGCTTTTTCCTTCTTGGGTAGCATCCTAGCTAGTGTTTTTTGGGTTTTTCTCCCATTTGGTTATATGAACTATAGTAAAGTAGAAGTTATATTTGTCTAGTAGTATGTGTATGTAAGCATGTATATATGTATATAGGGTATGATTCCTCATTTTGTGCATATACCTACTGTGTACATAAATTTGAGGGTGTATCTAAGTATATATCTTACATATACATTCAAGTGTAGATGTATATGAATGAGACAGTCAGACAGCCTCTCACTTATCGGCTGTACCCACATATGTATGCTAGAAGAATTCTACTGTATGGTATTATATTTTTCCATTATTGGCTTTTAAAATTATTTCACTTTTTTTTGCCTGTGGAATTGAAATAAGGAATTTTATCCTTATTTCTCTTTCTTTGGGCTAACACTGTTTAACAGCCCTCGTAGGCAGCTATGATCTGCCCAGTGTTCTGCTGGAAAGGCCCAATTCTTATTCTCAGTGCTGACAACCATTAATTAGTGGAGAATTCCCACAGGTGCCACAGTCCCCTGTGTCTGCTGTAGCCCATAACAAGAACCCTTTTTATTTTGAGTCCACTCAGAAAATCCCTGATATTGCTAGGGGGAGGGAGGGATGAAAACTAGCCATCCCCAATATCCTCTTAGGGAACCCTCAAACCGCTATGGAACTGCTTTACTCTCTCAAGGATCCCCTGATACAGGAACTAATTTGAATCAAGACTTCAAACATGCCGAATATGGAACCCTGTAGAGTTTCTCCATTTTAAGACTCTAGTTATGTTAGAACAGTTCTGAGTGCTCTGTGCCACTGAGAAAAAAGCACCACATTTCCAAAGAGAGCCACAGTGGCTGCTCAAGTTATGTGGTGATTAGTAGGAGATTAAGGGCTGGTGTCACTGTTTTTTAACTTGAAAATTGTAAAACCACGACATATGTCCTGTTACAATGGGTATTATAACAAAGATGAACTGAGTGTGGTGGTGGTGCACAAATATAATCCAAGCTACTTGGGAGGCTGAGGCAGAAGGATATCAAGTTCAAGGCCAGTCAGACAACATAAGTGAGACTCTGTTCCCACCACACCCCCCATAGTGGGGATTGAACTCAGCGCCTTTGCACTGACTGAGCTACATCTCTAGCCCTTCTTTGAGACAGCCTCTCACTAAGTTGCTCAGACTAGACTTGAACTTTTGATCCTCCTGCCTCAGCCCTGCAAAGTGCTGAAATTAGAGGAGTGTGCCACCACAGCTGGCCAAGACTCTGTCTTTAAAGTAAAAAATGCTGGGGATGTTGCTCAGTGATGAAACATCCCTGGATCAGCCCTCGGTACACTACCCCTCAAAGAAAAATAATAAGAGCTGGTGAAGAAGGATATGGAGAAAAGGAAATCTTTGCACACTGTTGGTTGGAATGTAAATTAATCTGCCATCATGGAAAACAGTATAGTGGTTCCTCCCAAAATATAAAATATAATTACCATGTTATTCAGCAATCCTGTTCCAAAGAAAATGAACTCAGTATATTGAAGAGTAATCATTGAAGCATTATTCACAATAAAGCCAAGGTATGGAATTAACCTAAATGTCCATTGACAGATGAATGAATTTTAATTATATATAAATATATATATGCAATGGAATTCTATTCAGTCATAAAAAATAAGGAAATCCTATTATTTGTGAGAATATACATGAGCCTAGAGGACATAATGTTAAGTGAAATAAGCTAAGCATGGGAAGACAAATACTCATGATCTCACGTATATGTGGAATCTAAAAAAGTTCATCTCATAGAAGCAGAGAGTAGAATGGTGATTGCTAGGGGCTACGGTCAGGGCAAGGAGATGTTGGTCATCAGATACAAAATTTCAGTTAGCATGGAGGAATAAGTTCAAAAGTTCTATCTTACAACCTAATGACTATGGTTAATAATAATGGTTTTTTTTGTTGTAATTGTTTTGAGATAGGTCTTGTTATGTAGTTCAGGTTGGCCTTGAACTCACTATGTAGCCCAGGCTGGCCTCTGATGCACAGAAAGCCTCCTGCCTCATACTCCCTAGTGCTGGGATTCTGTACAGGCATGTACCACCATGTCTGGCTATATTTTGTAAGTCAATAAGAGTAGATTTTGTCTTCTCATAAAACAAAAAAAAAATTGTGAGGTAACACGTAGCCTAATTAGCTCCATTGGGCCATGTGTTAGCTTTCTGTAGCTGTGATAAAATACCTGAGATAAACAACTTAAGTTTTGACTCACAGGGCCGGGGATTTAGCTCAATTGGTTCTGCCACCTGCCTCTCAAGCACAAGGCCCAGAGTTCAATCTCCGGTACCAAAAAAAAAAAATTTTTTTTGACTCACAGCTTAAAGGATTTATTACCATATGGTGGATCCAAGGAATAGATTCCAAGTCCTTTTGTATGGCAACCAAAGAATTGCAAAGCGTACACTCAATGGTGAGGGAAAAGCAGCTACGTTTATTGATGGTCACAGAGAAATGGTGCTGAGGACAAAAAGGCCCAGGGCACACTGTGCAGCTAAATAAGACTTGGGCTCAAGAGCAAGAGAAGAAAAAAGAGACTGCACGTGGTTTGGCCTGCCATATATGGAATGCTCCTAAAGTGGCATCTGAGCTCAAGTGGGTGGAAGGGAGTGATTAGGGAGGCATGGCCTTAGAGTGGTGCTGGAGCTCAACTGGGTGGAGAAGAGTGAATTCCTCAGACCCTAATATGCTATCTGTACTATTTTGAATCCATAGTCAGCTGGGTCATTTGCTTGTGAGCGGAAACATCATGGCGGGAAGTATGTTGGAACCAAGCTGTTCACCTCATTGCTGCTGGAGGCAGAGAGAGAGAGAGAACAGAGGGTAGGAGCCCAACATCTCCTTCAAGGGCCCAGGGCCCAGTGACCTCCAGTGACCCAGTCTCTCCGCCTAGGCCCCACCTCTTAAAAGATTCCACCATCTGGGCTAGGTACAGTCAGCCACCCGTCTTGTCCCAGCTACTCAGAGGCTGAGACAGGTAGATTACTTCATCTCAGGAGTTGAGACCAGCCTAGGCAACATAGCAAGCCCCATCTCCAAAAATAAAAACAAGGCTCCACAACTCCCAATAGCTCTACAGGTTGTTGACCAAGCTTTCAATATGTGTTTTGGGGGACATTTAAGATCCAAGCCAACAGCTGAGGGTGTAGCTCAGTGGTAGAGTGCTTACCTAACATGTGAGGCTCTAGGTTGGATCCCCAGCACTGAAAAAACAATCCAAGTGATTCCACAGTGTATACATATTTCCAAACATCATATTGTACAGGGTCAACGTATTTGTCAATTAAAAATAAACTACAAAAAATAGTATAAAATGCTTTAATGAATTAAAAAAATACTTCAACTGTTTTACTTTTTCTTGTTATTAAAACAGCAATAAGTGGCAACTTCTTAGAACCTTTATCCACCAGTATTCTACTTTGAATTTTTGGCCCTTTCTTATTTAAAATAGTTATAAAATAAAGCTTAACCATCAATGACTTGCAGTTGTCCTTGTCTTTTCCAGAACATCAAAAAATGATTGTTCATTAATCAACAATAGCTTATTTCTGTGTCTCCCTTTGATCAGTCAGAGCAAAACTTTTGAGCCCTGGCTAGGCACAGTCAGTGCCCACCTTGGTCAGAAGCAGCCATAAGAAGACAGATCATGAGCCCCTCTGTATCCCTAAGAATAGGGATCAAAGTCTCAGGATGGGAAATGTGGTAGGACAGAAGAAATATTTTAAAATTGTACTTCATGATACAAAATTACCCAAGGTTGTCCATGTCTGTACTCCCTGGGCTTGTTTATGCTGCTTTTCTTCCCAGCCCATCACACCCCAAATCCCCTAAAGATACTATAAGCCCATAAATTAGCTTAGTTGATAAACTAACTTTAAGACAGAAAAACAAAGATTTCAAAGAACATTTTAAAGTAAAATATCTTAGATCATTCATCTTAAAAAATAAAATAGACTTGCCCTGCTTTTCCCCTATAAAGTCAGTCATCCTTTTGCCTATGAAATGGGCTTTATCTTTCAATGGTGGTACATGCTTCTTCTCATAAACCAACAGATTTCCCAGATTTCCACCTCCAGAAACACACATAAATATTCCCAGGTCCAAACTATAATGCATCTCTTTTGAGAGCCTGCACTCCATTTTTATTTGAGCATGCACTTTAAAATTTGCCTAATAAATCCCTTTACACCTCTTTAAAAATAAAATAATATAGAAGTGGGTTTTACCATGGGCTACTGTCTGCTTTTCCTCTGTGAAGCTATGTTCTATATCTTCCATGAGCTTTTGGGAAGTTTTAATTAAATATGTATTAAAGTATAAGACTTTATTTTGAAAAACTTGAAAATTCTTGCTTTTAATTAAATTCTGCACAGTACCTGAGCAGAGAATTAGCCTCCAAACATATAAAAGGGATTAGGTGTGCTGTGTTTCCTTTCAGTATTAAAGTAAAATAAGGATATAATTTAGGTGTGTTAAGGTTGTGAAGAGTCCCTTCATGCTGTTAGGCCATTTTCTCCAAGTTTATATTGGTAATAAGATAGGTATGGTTCTGTCCGACTTTGAAAGGATGCATTATGCTACTTAGCATACTTGCATGGATGCCTTACAACCCATTTGCCAGAGAGCAGGACAATACACATGATACTCTTCAATGTCATTCCTGTGCTTCCCAGAGTCCTAGAATGCCATTTAGAAATGGTTAGGGGAAAAAATGAAAGGTTAAATTCATGTTAAATGAATGTTAAATTCATTTGTGAGATAAGGTTTTAAGCTATTCAGAATTGTTGTTTAAAGCCAATGCCACAAAAAAAAAAGGAAAGGAAAGAAAAAATAGAATAGAGCCAGGTGCTGTGGTAATGCACCTATAATCCCAGCACATAGGAGTCAGAGGCAAGAGGGTCACTTGAGTGCAGGAGTTCCAGACCATCCTGGGCAACATAGCAAGATCATATCTGAAAATTAGGAAAGGAAAAAATACAAAAAAGATTAGTTACTAATGACATTTGAAAAAGATCTTTGTAAACTTTGTCAAAATTATCATTACATCATAATCACAATAAAAAGTGAATAGCCTGAAGAAGTACACTACCAACTCATTTCTTAGGTGCCATTTGTTCCACAATCTAAAGTATTTCTTTTATAAAATGAACAATAATATGAATTTAAAACACAAGATTTAACATTAGGTATTTTGTTGTTATTTTTAACCTGAAACAAAAGTATTTCACATCTTAAACTAAAGTAGGGATGGAAATAACATTTTGGTATAAGTGAAAACGTTCTTTTGTAATTTTTGCATGTTTTACATGTTTCAGACGAATCAATTTAGCAAACTTTAGAAGAAAAAAACTTATTTTTAAATTTACAAAATTGTAAAATCTACTTGCCACAATATTTTTGTTTCACTTGGTTGTTCTCTTTCTAGGATTTGTTAACCAGACATAAAGTGTTGGTAGCAGACTTCTTAGAACAAAATTATGACACTGTAAGTAGAAATCATTTTTAAGACTATGTTGTCCTGTCTTCCTTTTTTCCCTCTCTTAGATCTTTGAGAAATTGCCCCTCTTTGTCATCCACAAGTGAAATCAACCATACTTAATCATACCTCTGGTTGGTTTAGAGGAAATTGAGACTGATAGCAGGTCAGGGTTTTGTCATTTTTCACATCTCTTCCTTTTGTGCTGTGGAGAGCCAATAAATGACCACCACCTGCTTACTTTGATCTTGAGTTAAGAAAACCCGAGATGGGCATCGGGGCACATATCTGCATCCTAGCACTGGGGAGGCTGAGGCAGGAGGATTGCTCTAAGTTCAAGGCCAGCCCAGGCTACATAGTGAGTTCAAGACAAGCCTAAACTACATAGTGAGACCCTGACTCAAAACAAACAAAAAAGAAAACCCAGAAGCTGGAGATGTAGCTTAGTGGTAGAGCATTTGCCTCCCTGGCATGCACAAGGCCCTTGGTTTGAATCCTAACACGCTAAGAAGGAAAAGAACGGCTATGTTGTTCTTAAGAGGTAGCACAGGTAACCCCAATCAAAGAACATTTCACCTTGACCTTGACCAACCTAGTTTTATTTACTATTAGAAATACCAGTGTCTTCCAATCCCCTTCTTTAAAGGTGAATCCAACTCATCCTTTAGGTATTTGTCTAAAATATCACTTTTCAAGGAAGCTTTCCTAATCCCACCCCTCCCCAAACACTTGCTCTCTCATTTTGCACTTTTATTTATTTTTTTGAGACAGGGTCTCAAAAAATACACCTTTCACATGTATTTGTATTTTATAGTTTCAATGAAAATTTATCATAGTTTATTATTTGTTGGATAAATTTAATGATTCATGAAATCCCCCTTGTGTCTGGGGACAGAATAAACGTCATCCATAAAACAGAATGTAATAATGTGACTTTAATATGAGGTACCTTTTAACAAACTTCATTTTTCTTCTTTTGAGATGGAGTCTTGCTATATTGTCTGCCCTGGTCTCAAATTCAGGCACTCGGATGATCTTCCTGCCCCAGCCTCCCAAGTAGCAGGGTCTACAGGCATCCCCCCAGCACTTTTAGCTCGCTTTCTTCATTTTTTATCAGTAGTTATCGTGGGTGTGCAGCCCTTAGGGCCATCATACCCAGGTTCACAGACACCCCTCTACTTCAGCTCACTGAGGCTTCAACTGCCTTCCGTCCTCTGCTTCCTGAACTCCCTCACCTTCATCCTGGCACTCGCTCCTCCACTACAGTGATCTCTGAGCGACATGCCTACAGGTGGTAGAGGTAGATGCGGAGTTTCCCCAGCATTGAGCTGAAGGCCTCAGCCATGACTGATGACCACGTTAGGACACAGCAGGTCCCATGCACCAGTGTCAGTAGCTTCTGTGAGTGCAGATGTGCTTCTGAGAGGCCAGTGGGGTTAGATTGGCCATCAGGCAGCCAGCGTCACCTCATGCCTCCTCGTCTGTTCACACTATGAACTTGGCAGTCTGATTCTTTATGGGCTGTCAGGTGAAGCCCTAAGTGCATTTAATATTTTCCCAAGTTGTTTGTGGACCCATAGCTGCATAAACATATTTCTTTAAAGATATCACAAAGTGAGTTATATTGCAGTTGTTTTTTTTTTTGGTACCAGGGATCGAACTGGGGACCTTGTGCCTACAAGGCAGACATCGGAACCACTGAGCTAAATCCCCGGCCCTGCAATTTTTAATAAATGGCTTATCAGAATGATTTGGGAGGATCAAAATTATGCAATTTTTTACTCAATTTCTAACTTCTTATACTAAAATTAAGTAGAGACATGTGCCTTCCATCTCCCTTGGTCTCCACACACCTCAGGGCCTCCGGTAGAGGAGGACGGTGAACAGTGGGGCCTCCTCAAACAGGGAAGGCAGAGGTGCTGAGCACAGCGGCCTCCTGGGGAGTACGAGACCTAGTGCTCTCACTCCACGATCCTGCTGCTTCTGTACTCTGACTTTTCTTTTCTTTTCTTTTCATTAGATTTTTGAAGACTATGAGAAATTGCTTCAGTCTGAGAATTATGTGACTAAGAGACAATCTTTAAAGGTAATATCAAATTTCTTTAAGTTAGAGCCCCTGTAAATTGATAACTTGCTAGGAAATAATATCTACTAGTGGACAGGTAAATATAGAACAATTTAAGTATCCTTTTTTTGTCACTAGAGAAGTATGTTATAACTGTACTTTATAGCAAAATAATGTAAATATCTTGCCTCAAGTATTTTTTGGAAGGCAAAGATAGGCTGATTGGGGCTGGCATTTTTGATCTCTAGTTTTTAAGGATGATTATTTTCCATTTAGGTCTTATTTTGGGGAATAGACAGATAGCAGCTGGAGTGTCTGCAAGACCTCTCCAATAAGTTGACTTTTGAGCTGCGGCCTAAATTTGTGAAAAACTAAAATGATTCTGAATAACATTGTGTGTATATGTGTGTGTGTTTGTGCACATGTGCACATGCACATGCCCATGTGTGTGTAAAACCAAAAGCCATTTGCTATTTGAAATCACATCTCCTGTGAAATGCCAGTGGCAATGCCTGGAACCTGAAGGAGAAAGGTCCCACGTGTCCATGGGTGCCTGCCTGCCCTGTGAAAGGTGCCCAACATGGCATTTGGTCGCAGGAGGTGGGCACTAGTGTGAGGCGGTGGCCATGGGCTAAAGCTGCATCTCTGCCCTGCACATCACACTCAGATATTCAAAAGTGTTTCTGGTAGATGATAAAATTAACTGTTTTTAGTCAAGCAGTTTGTAAGATGCTTCAGCTCACTGAATAGCATACTTGTATTACTGTATTTTTATATCATGATAATGACATTCACAGGGCAATGGCTGTTTCTAAATATTGAATACAGTTTTAAGCTAAGGCAATAAATTAAATGTTTTGTGCTACTTTTTGTGATTTTTTTGGAGACAGGGTCTCACTATGTAGTTCAACTGGGCCTTGAACCCATTATGTACCCCAGGCTGGCCTGAAACTTGCTTTGATCCTCCTGCCTCAGCCTCCCCAGTGCTGGGATTACAGGCATGCACAACCACACCCAGCTCTGTTTGACATTTTAAAAATGTACTTTATCTATGGTGATTTGCGTCAGCCATGACCTGCTTTCCGCTGTATTTATGCCCTCACTGCTCCAGCTTCACTTGTTAATGGACAGGTCAATTTCTAGCCTGTCAGTCAGCACTCTTTATTGAGGCAGAAACTCATACAGGGTGATCCATGTGGAGAAGAAAGCCCACAGTGTGCTGGAGCTTGTGATGAAACCAAGGTGTGCACGATACTGACCTGCAGGCAGAGACTGTGGCTGAAACTCTGCACTCCCTCCTGTGGAGAGCTTGCTGAGAGCAGACAAAGATAAGGACAGATCCAGCAGCCGCAACTGTGTACCTAAGGAATAGAGTGCTTTATTCCCGAAGGAGCCACAAGAACAGCCAGAATAGGGGGAGCTTGTCCCTGTCACAGGAGATAGTGGCCCTGGAGGGGACGTGGCAGTTGGAATAGTAAACAGAGATAACAGTTTTCCAAACACCTCCTCTTTTCAGTGTGAGTCTATCAGATACTCAACCAAAGTGGAGAGATTCATATGAACCAAGTAGGCAGGAAGAAAGGCTGAAGGCTGTAGTCTTTAGAATTTACCCTTGTACCATATTTAGCAGTAACAAGAACACGAACAAATGTTTGCTGTGATTGACTTTCTCTAGGACCTTAGACAAAGTCATAGAGCTGACAGTTACTTTTTTAGCTGATCATCTCCCTTCCCAGACATTTTCCTGCCTTTTCTTCCTACTATTCTAGCATGCCCTCCTGCCCAAGTCCCAATTGTCCTTGATCTTTTGTCTGGATGTCTTCAGCCCCATTTTTCCTTGTCTCCTTCCCTTGGAAAATGGTCTGGGCAGAGTCTCATTTTTTCTGCTGAGGATGAACTGGGCTCGGGCATGGTAGTCAAGCACTTTTCCACTAAGCTGTGCTGCCAGCTCAGAACTATAATTTATTAAATAAACCAAATTAAAATATACAAATAAATATTCCTAGTCATTATCCCCAGAATTCTTTCTCCCCAGGGTTCTATCTCTGGAAGGGATTGATGTATTCTAAATAAACATTTGGTACTACAGTATGAATGAAACTTGTTCCTGCCAGCTTGCAGTTGCAGTCAGACCTACCACATTGGCTGCCTTTCCTGAATAAAATCCTTTACAGTTAAATGTCTCACACATTTGTTTACAACATGGTAAAACTGAGCACTGATCAGAGAGTGAAAAAAACAAACCTGACAAAAACCAAATAAAGCATATATAAGAAGTTAGAATGTTTTAAAAACGCTTCATAAAGAGTTAGCTTTTTAAAGTACTACATTATAGGCAGAGATGTTGCTAAAATGATCTTGTATTCCCTTTTCAGGGGAATAGAAAGGTAGATGTTTGTGAAATGGTTCACATATAAACACTGAGCTCATTAAATATTGTCTGCTTTTTTCTTTGATGGAAAAATGTTCTGGGAAGTTCCACTGAAGCTGTTTTGGTTCTTCCTTTTGGAAGTTAGATCTGTGATAGCAGTGTATTGTATTCTAACAGAACCATGTGTGCATATATGAATTCTGTAAAGTTTTGTACATAGATTTTTTACAGTTGTAGGGCCCAAGAGAGGTTAGATATTATAACAGTGAATGACTTTTTACATAATAAATTGGCTTAAGAACTATGCTATTTTCTGGTTCCAAAGTTTTTGCTACCTGCTGGCTTTTGTTAATCATATTCTGAATTTTTCAGACTGTCTTGGTCTTTAGGTCCTTAGAATCCTTAGAATGGTATCAATAAAAAATAATTAACAGAGAAATTCCTTTCCCTCATGTGACAGTGTAGGAATTTATTTCTTATCTTATTCAGAGGCCTAGCATTTAATTACTACCAAGGAAGATTATAATTCCAAAAGAAGCTTGGTGGAATTCTTGGCTCTGATCAATTTCATCAAAACAAAAAAATCTCTTAGTTCCATTCACTGCCTGGTTTTACTACTACTATAAGGCATGTAAAATAAAATTTAAATAAGTAAAATATACATTTTTCCCATTTACTTATTATAATGCTTTGTACATTTTGTCATCATTAGTGTTAATTAAAATAGATTAACAGTTAATGGCCAAAATGCTCAGGATTAGTCAAGTTATGTAACACAATTAGTTGTATAGGAAAAGCTGTGAAATTGTATGAGCAGAGAATAAATTGGATAGAATTTATATGTAGGTATCTGCATATAATAAGAATTAAAGTTACTTCATCTGAATTGAATTCATAAATGTAACCTCAACAATTATCATTTATATGTATGTTTGTAGATTTTAAGGATAAATTTTCAAAAACTGAAATATTTTTGGCCAAAACCTTTTGTTATATCTATATGTGGTGTGTATGCCCTTTAATGGTAGATTAAATAAATACCTTTAGAAACTAAATAAATCTCTTGTCAGCTGTACAACTCAGAAGTTTTGAGGGTCAGGGAGCCATCCCTTTGACATGTAAACATCTAGAGGGTAGCACTCCAACCTCCCTGACACCCAGGAGTTTGATACAGGGATTTTCTTCTAAACTATAATCATTTGCTTATCAGAGAGATAAAAGAAGTTATATTATCCAGATAAAGCCAAATCATTTTTTTAAAAAGACCAATTACCAAGTGAATTTAGGTGAACTCTGAAGAATGCACAGGAATAGTGCTGTCAAGTCTTATAGGAGGCAAGTTGTTGTTGTTGTTATTATTATTTTTATTATTATTGGGGTTTTTCTGAGACAGAGTTTCACTATGTAGTTCAGGCTGGCCTCAAACTCAGAACAATCCTCCTGCCTCAGCCTCCCGAGTGCTGGGATTACAGGTATGTGCCGCCCTGCCTAGTGAGGCAGGTTACTTTTCATCTTGAGACCCTATTAGGCAGTGGAAAATAGCTATTTGGCTGTATACAGAGGTGGAATGTTATGTCTTTGAAATTTCTTTTTTTTCACAGAGTATCCACATGGTAACGCTTATTTAATAATAAAATTGTGCTTTGCTTCTTCTCTGCCTTTTGTGAAGTAGAAGAAGTCTGTGGCTAGGACGCTCGCCAGTGACATCCACACACATCACACTGGCAGTAAGGGGCACAGACAGGAACCATACCCTCAGGCAGGTGCACAGATAACCACACTTCGAGACAAATGGGAACAAACAAGGAGCACAGAAGCAGGTGGGGCAGGAGACTTGGGTGCGAGAGGAGAAGGGGCCTCCCTAACTACTCATTTGAGCCAGACCTGGAGGGTGAGGTGGTTTTACAGGCAGACAGGTAAGAGGTAAGAAGCCAGAGGAAGGCCGTAACATTGAAACAGGAGCAAAGAGTTTCTGGAAGTGTGTGCAGTTACCTCTGTATACTACAGGGAGGTTGCTGGAAAATGATTAACGATTTCATTACACTGTTGCTATTCCATACGTATGAGAATATCTAATGGCCAATTAGTATCCAACAGTGGGGTTCTGTTGTGAGAGACAACTAGCCCCGCCCCCATTCTATGAGCTTTCTCCTCCCATCCAGGATTCCTGTAAACATCTATGCAATGTATTATTATCCTGAAGTTTCCAGAAAAAGCCCAGTAAACAGAGAACAACAGAGAAGTGGATCGTCCGTGGGAAATCACGTGATGGTACACTGCTCCACCTGTTTCAGGAATTATTCCTGAACAAAAGCTCCTGAGATAGGTAGAGCAACGGTGCCTTTAGCCGTGTTCTGGATGATCTTCAACTCTTTTCACTTTGGGTGTTTTAATTTTGTTTTAGAGTAATGTTACATTTGGGGAATCTTTATTTATTTTTTCCATCATAAAACGTTTTGCTTACTTCTTCGTAAAAACTTGAAAAGTTAGGATATTGATTCAGAGTCACTGATGTTTTTTCTCCTGGCTTTATGTCAGGTTTTATAATAAAAGGCAAGGCAAGGTAAGAGTTACTTAATGTAAAGCTATGTTTCTAGTAAATTTCTACAGTACACTTCTTGGGAATGAAAGGATAATTGTAGAATCAATTTTATTATTCCCATCATACCCGAATGTCTAAGGAACAATACATTATTGGAAAGCAAGGTATTTAAGTGATAAAAATTAATTTATTTCTATCTCTTGGTGAGCTGCAACAGTGACTGGCTGAAAAAAAAATGCTTTAAGCCTTGATGTTAGCAAAACCATATGAAATGAAGTAATAACTACTGCTTTTATGCCATGTGGGCGTGTTTTACTGGTAATTAAACCCACAGCCTTTGCATTCCCAGCCCTTTTTTATTTTTTATTCTGAGTCCGAGTCTCGCTAAGTTGCTGAGTTCCCCAGGCTGCACTCAAATTTGTGATTCTCCTGCCTCAGCCTAGAATTATAGACATGCACCATGACCAGCTATATGTGTGGGATTTGGGTTTTTTTTTTGTTTTTGGTACCAGGGATCGAACTCGGGCCATTGTGCTTGCAAGGCAGGCAGCGGAACCACTGAGCTAAATCCCCGGCCCTATATATCTGTTTTTTAAGATGTACTTAATGACTATCATTTTTTTCACAATACCATTCTTATATTTATATTTTGTTTTTTAGTGAGATATATTTGAATAAGGCAATTGTGAGAAAGATAACAGGTTTCACTTTGGTTTTTTTTGTAGCTGCTAGGTGAACTGATCCTGGATCGCCACAACTTTGCCATTATGACCAAGTACATCAGCAAGCCAGAGAACCTGAAGCTAATGATGAACCTCCTTCGAGATAAGAGTCCCAACATCCAGTTTGAAGCCTTTCATGTCTTTAAGGTAAAGGACAACCCAAAAAAATAATGTTGTACATAGTATTATTTTTGTTTTGTTTTTCCAGTTTTAAGTGACATGTTCCTTGCTTTTTACTGTCCTTCATAGAGAGAAAATTAAATCAGCAATCTTTTTATTTTGCATAATTTCGATGAAATTTTAGTAATGAAGTCTTTTATTTATTTATTTATTTATTTATTTATTTATTTATTTATTTTTGGTACCAGAAATTGAACTCAGGACCTTGCGGGGTGGCACCACTGAGCTAAATCTCTGGTCCTGTAATGAATTCTTGGTTCTAAACAATTTGCTAACTAATCCATATCTTCAAATATTTTCTTTTTAAAAAATATTTATTTATTGACTATATTCTCCCACTAACCTAGTTGCATATATCATTCCTTCAGTGCAACAATTAGGCAAATTTCTCTCTGGCTATTACATATGAATTATAAATTCAAAATTTCATGTGCACAACTACCTTACCTACTCTCAGAGGGGTTCCCATCCAACACTTGGAATAAGATTCAACAATTGTCTTCAAATTTTTCCATTGAAAAATAAATAAGATTGGACCTCTCCAGTTCCCCAGAAATCAAACAGATGGAAAAATCTAATGATTTTGAAAGACTTCGAGGTCCCTGACTATGCTCTGGAGCTCAGTATTTCTTTCTCTCATAAAAGACTGATTCTTTTTTTTTTCTCACTGAGATATAATAGGTGGTACCATTTCCCGCAGATTAATAAAACAATCAGAAATTTGATGAGAACCTGAGGCCCAAGTGTCAGCCTCTGAACACTTTGCTTTCTGAAGCGCCTTCTTTGAACCTACTGGGAAACCCTGAAGATACACTCAGTACCCTTGCTACTCACTCATTACTGGCTTAGAAATTTGGGTCTTTTTCTAATATTTTTCTTTGACAGGGTAGTAAGATCACTTGCTAGAAATGTGAGATAATAGATCTATGAGGCAAGTGGGAGAAAACTAATCTGTTATCCCATACTTCTAACTATTATAAACTTTATTTTCCTGTACACCTGAGGGTTCTTTTTACAGGTAGATTCAAGTTGTACAAACAATTGATATTCTCATTTTATCACTTAATGCAATAATATAGGTAAACATTTTCACCAGTGTTATATGTAGCTTTTAAAGCTAGTAGATTTTGGTGGTTTTTTGTTTGTTTGGTTTGGTTTTTTTGCATATTAGTTTATCATTGAGTATATTTATTTCTAGTGTACTTAAATAGTCCTGTGTCATTGATATTTGGGATATTTCCTTTTTTTTTTCACTACTATAAGTAATGCTGCAATGTACATTTTGTGTACCCAGCAAGATTTTTCCACATTTAGGATTATTTTCTTTTGATGGACAACTAGAATAGAACTATGGGTTCAGAGAGTTCCAGGATTTTTTTTTGGAAAGGGCTTTATACTACAGTATATATTCAGTGATAGAATTTATAAATCTGTAAGTGGGAGACGTGATAGTCCATAAGTTAATTGTTGCTTTCAAAGGTAAAAACAAAAAAAAGTTTAGTCTTCCAGCCACCAGATATTTATTGTCTAGAAAGCCAATAGAATAAGTAAAATCCTAACTTAGTTTATAAATCCTACTCATTTACATTTGAAATCCTAACAGAACTTTTCCTGGAACTTGATAAGCAGATTCCAAAATTTGCATGGTAGAAGTGGCAAAAGATTATGGCAATTATGAGAACTAGGGAAATCTACCCTGCCAGATATTAGGATCTTGGGTAGGGCTAAATCTCAGAAAAATTTTATTAAGTATAATAAGCAAATGTTAAAAAGATATAATTTACTCAAAGTTTAAAAATATACAAGACAATACCATATGTGGATTCATACATGCACATTTATAGTCTAAGGAGAATGAATAATGTAAACTGTCCAAAAGCCTTGTTATATTTGTATTTAAGTCTGTAGCTGTTAGAACTGATGGTATAAATATGTGTTCTGATAAATGTCTCCCTATTTTCTTGTCTGTGTTAGAATTATTTCATAAAATATAAACAAATTGGATTAAACATAAATAGAATGCCATAGGCCTGGGAAACACTGCTATTATAAAGTGATACGTCTTCTTAAGACCCTTCTGACTGCAGCAGGGACTGTAGAAGGCTGTCTTGTTAATTAGCTTCATAGAAGGGTACTCTACATCCAAGATGAGAACAAGCTTTTTATAATTTTGTTCAAAAGTTCAGTTTTAAGGAGGATTTAGTGTGTGGCAAAATAGAAATAGCCTGCTTCCATCTTCAGAAGATCAGAATTGGATAACAGCGGGTACATTTAAAATAGTTGACAACATGTTTGCTTATACATGTATAAATTGAGCCTGCCCTGCAACCCAACTGTTTTCCTTCCATTCAAGTTAGGAACTTGATTGTTTACTTCCCCAAAATAATATTTTGCTATTTAGAAAAAAATAACAGCTGAGTCCTAGAATTTTTTTACGGTTCTTTATTAATAGTTTTCCCTAGGGCCAGGGATTTAGCTGAGTGGTTCAGCTGCCTGCCTCGAAAGCACAAGGACCGGAGTTCAATCCCTGGTACCAAAAAAAAAAAAAAAATTTTTCCCTAAGAGCACCTTCTATAAAAGGTGCAAAAAATATTGTTAATCTACAATTCAGGTTTAACTGGGCATTTCTCTTTTTCTTTGTTAACTCTGGAAACCCTAAACAGGAAGGACTCACCATCGTATCAGTTCTCAGGTATATAAACAAGAACAGGGTCCTGGGTAATAATACAGTGTCTTTGAAAAATGCCAATCATCCTGACAAGCATTATAATGTAAAATGGCCAGAACTTTTGTGAGTTGAAGGTGTATAGTGATGCTTTCCTCCTGGTATACTCCATTCAGAAACCAAGGGTTTATGGATCTGGAAACCAGAGAATGAGGAAAACAACTTAGTGCTACCAATAAAACTGCCTGTAATCCCAACACTCTGGGAGGCTGAGGCAGGAGGATAGAGTTTCAAGTTCAGCCTGCGCAATTTACATAGCAACTTAGTGAGACTCTGTCTCAAAATAAAAAATAATAAAAGGGCTAGGGGCTGGGGACACAGCTTAGCGCTAATGCCCTGGGTTCAATCCCCAGTAGCACAAAAGCAAAAACAAAAAAATTGCTGATGGAGCCAGAGTGCACTGGGGACTGTGCTCCCAGAAGGTTTCTGACTTGCCATACTCTTTGTAAATTGTGCAGGAAAATCAGAGTCAGACAGGCTAAGAGCTCAGTGATGAAAACTAGTATCACAGACCTGTGAAGGACAAAAATGAGCTGAGAGTGTGAAGGTGCAAATAGCAGGAAACCAGGGAGAGCAAATGACAGCTAGGTAGAGGCCTCTGATGCATACTGGGTACATTGCTGGAGTAAAGTTTATCTTCACAGCTCTGGGGACCTTGAGGTTGGTCCTCTTGTCAGGTAAATGAGGTTTTGGTTTTTTTAAGGATTCCTGGAAAAGGAGATTCCACAGTCCTTCTGAGGTGCTTCCCTGAAGAAGGGTATTGAGAACCCAGAGAGGCTAAAAAGATGATTGAAGAACTAGGAAAACAAGACAGACTTAAACACTAATACATCTGGGCATGATGCACACATTTAGGCCTGGAACTCTAGGAGGCTGAGGCAGGAGCTTCGCAAGTTCAAGCCCAGCCTGAGCAACTTAGTGACTTTGCAAGACCCTGTCTCAAAATAAAAAATGGCTGGGGATGTAGCTCAGTGCAAAGGCCCTGGGTTCAATCCAGTATTGCCCCACCCCACCCCCAAACCTAATATGCCAAAAAAGAAAAGCTACTGAGAAATTTGATATTGTTATGTGAGAACAACAGAATACTTTTCATGGAATGCCATAACCTGAGTCAAAGCAGATATCTCAATACAGAAGCTGAGGAGGTACACTATAAATAAAGTAGATTTCCTAAGGATGGGCTTTTGAGACATTGGAGTAAGTTATTGAAAATGGTCATAGAATCACCTTTCCAGAGAGCCTTAGAGGAGAAAAAAATCCACATCCAGGAGGATGTGGAAAATTACATGTGGGAGGATGAATTAGTTAAATTCTTGAGGTTTCTCTCCATTGAAAGTCTATTGTTTCTACAGTTGATTGTGATAAAGTATACTAGTAACATCAATTCACCTTTTTATAGTATTTTTAGGAGAAATAATAGTATACTCTTTGGTTAGAAGATGATTTCATTTTTCTAATATATCGCTCAACATTATCATGTAATATTATTTAGATTTTTTCATTTTGCATTGGTTTCTGTACTCTAGTAATATAATGGAGGAGAAATCATTTTTATCATAGAATATAATTGCAAGTAATAACAAGCAAAGAATGTCTTTTAAGCCAAGATAAAACTTCAGAATAGTTAAAATGAGCTATTAAGGGTGCACGTGTGTGTGTGTGTGTGTGTGTGTGTGTGTGTGCGTGTGCTGCCAAGGACCAAACCCAGGCCCTTGTATGTGCTCAGCATGCCCTGTGCCACTGACTTGCATCCCTAGCCCAGTTATTGGGTTAAAATTTGACAGCAAATGTTTAGGGAAGCAATTACTGTTATGTGTGACATTGGTGATGACTTTTGAGGGAAGTGACAACAGTAACTGAATGAGCAATTGCTAAACATTTACAAGGATTTACTGCTTTCAAAACCCAGCGAAGTTTTAGTAATTAAAGATAGTGAAGTACTTATACATACTACAATGTGGATGAACCTTGGATTCAAGCTAAATGAAAGAAGCCAGTCTCAAAGACTGCACATTATATGATTCCATCGATATGAAATGCCTAGAATAGGCAAACTTCTAAAGGCATAAAGTAGATTAGTGGTTTGCTAGAGATGCAGGTCGGAATGAGAGACGACTGCTAATGGGTTCAGGGCTTCTTTTTCGGGTGATAGAAATGTCCCAAAGTTGACGACAGTGATGCACAACTCTGAATATGCAAAAAATCATTGAAATGTACACTTTGAATTGGTGAACTGTATGCA